GTTTATTTTATGTTGTATTTTAATAGTGCACTATTTTTTTTATTGTAACCGAAAAAGTTAAACTTAACATCTGAACTTTTATCAATCTTTTTGCGCGAGAAAATTTGCTTGTTATTAAAAGTATAACTTATTTATACATATAGCAAATGGATAGCGAGTGAACAAATATTTATGATGTAATAGATGCAAAAAATGAAGATACCTTTTATAAATTCGGTAAAATATTTACTGTTAATTTCCTATGAAAGAATTTAAAGAAATTTGGAAGGTTAAGTTATGTGATCTATTTCAATATTCTTAAATAACTCAAGTTAGTAACTTGCGTCAGGAAAAAAGAAATTAGTAAATCTTGTATTACTAATCATCTCTTCGTTTCGCATTAAAAGCAGGATATTTTTCCATTATATATATAAAAAATACTTTTTCGACTGTTCAAGTAAAACTTTATATTTTCGCAGAATTTTTCATTTTCAATACATTGCAAGTCCAAGCTTTAACTTAATGAATTATTTTGTTATTGGCACAAGAACCTGCATTTAATGTATTTAATTATCATATTGCTTCAATATATCAAGTTCATACACATAAGCATTATACTGAAAATTAAAGTAACCGTACTACACAAAGAAAATGTCAATATTAAATAGCTTCTGGACTGTGAAAGGATTTACACATTTCAATTTTTAAAGCAACTTTGATATAATTTCGTCCGGGTTTATTGAACTCTTAGTGAGGTTTATCTTCTTCGACTATTTAAATGGACTTTCTTTTCTATTCTTCTATATTTATAAGATCTCTCGGTGACTCACGAGATCTCTCAGTTTTCAGTTACTGATTTTCATTCCGAGGTATGAGTCTCTTTAAGCATTTCATACGTCATACAGGCGACTCTTGATTCTCGTACATAATTGGTTCCTGAAACGGTGTCCCAAAGTTGAATGTTCGAAAATAGAGAGATGTAAAATTAAGCATTAAAAATTGTATTTTAAAATATTTATTTATCAACAATATTATTTATCTATGAATATGCGTGCATAAAGTTGACGAAGCCTGTTTAACCGGTTTCAGGCATTTTCTATGTAAACTTGTCAAGAGTTACCACTTTTCTTTTCTTAATAAAGAGTTCTATAAAGTGCTCGCCTTTCTCGATCGCTTTGTATACTTAAGGTATACGTTCTCCATTGAGATCACATTCTTCCATGATAGCCTCCATGATTCTTCCATGAATTTCTCAATATGCATGAAGGCTCCCTTCATATTTTTGATTGTGAAAGTGACGACGGTTTTATCAGTTTCATTTTTCTTTCACTTTCACTGTGTATTTCATTTAACACCTGTTGCTGAAGTAAATATTCCTTTGACGAAGATATTGAGTGAAATTCAATGAACTCATTTTAACACCTTCGTTGTTGGCTTCATTGTTTAGTTCATTCAGTAGACTAACTATTTCTGCTGTGATAGCTTTCGGAATTTCTTCAGAATTTGTAAAGTCACTTTTCATTTGTGGGCATAATTGTTTCCAAGAGACTTTCATTGTTGACTTTTTTTATTTTAGCCCACAAGTCTTCAATATTGTTCATTGCGTTCCATACGTTATAATTCTTTCAAAAATATCTCAATGTTGCCAGATGCCTTGATTGCGTGAGTCATCATTGTCCTCATATAATGTCGTTTAAACGTAGCTGTCCCTATTTGATGCATGGGCACTATTTTAACCATTGTTTGATCAGTGGGCTGAATGAGGTAGTTAGTATTGAGTGGAAGAAACATAACATTGATTTCCTGGTATAAATTCTACAGAAATTTTGGGTGTCCTGGAGCATTGTCTAAGATTAATAATGCTTTGAATTACAAATTTTTATCTTTACAATATTGCTCAACTGCGGAGACGAAAGGAAAAATCAACCGCTCTTAAATACTAACGCAGTAACCCAGGCTTTTTTATTCAACTTCCAAATGATTTGAAGCAATTCTTTATCTTTCTTTTTAATGCTTTCAGATTTTCTGCTTGATAAATTAACATTGGCTTCAGTTTTAAATCACAGACTCTTTCTAACAAGAAGCAATGCAGTTGTTTTTTAAGTTTATGTCCAGGCAACTAATTCTTCATTCGAAAAGAATGTACGATTAGGTATTTTTTTCCAAAATAAACCCGTCTAGCCTACATTGAATTTTTGGCTAAGAGAATATTTTCCAACTATAATAATTTTGTACAACGAGGAATTAAATTCTTTTAGAGTAATTTTATCTGTATCAGCGGCTTCTCCAGTGAATTTAAACATATTTTAAATTTGTCGAACCAGAATTAATTGCTTAAAACACCGCATCAGAATCTTCTTTTAAGATAGTCTTCTAATCTTAATGCAAACTGAGAGCTTTGCTTGAAATAATTGAAAAACTCAGAGAGTACTCTTTTGATGGTGATCATCAGTCCATGATGGTAAAGATCCTTTCATTTCATCCTTCTCTATGCCGTCTCTTTTCAAGAAAAAAAAAAAAAAAGCTTTCAAACTGTATTATTACAATTTGGAAGTATTTATCGTAATTTGAACCTTATTATTGTTTTTCAAAATTGAACATATTGTAGACTATTTATATTGTACAGATGGCCGATTGAAGCAAAAGATTTACTGCTTTTAGAATATTTAAATGAAATACTTTAGAATGATCGTATGAAGTTATGACGTCTTAATTTTTGTTTGTTCGTATCAACACTGCAGTTTCACCATTTCTCACTCATGTTTGTAAATTTGTAAGGGCGAAAGAAATTGGCAAAACACATAAAGCATCGACGAGTACTCTAATGCAAGACTTAAACCTGCCTATACATTAGCCCAGTAACCGCAGCTCGGAACCCTAGTGACATCATAACGACTCCGAGAAGTCCGCTACTCGAGGAGGCAGTATTTGTGAGTACTTGAGCTCTGTTCCGTAGTATAGTTCGGCCGTCTCAAACACAACCTCGGCTGGCATTCTGCCAAAACACAGACTCGTACAAAAGGGGCGTTATTAATTATTACGACGTGAGAGGTCACGTGAAGAATTCCAGAAAGAGAGAATTTTACATGCTCGAGGGAAAGAAAGTCCCCAGCCTTCCACTTTATTTTGAAAATAATTCGGTCCGAATGGCGCATGCGTGTTTGCGCTCATGGTTGGAAGCGAACAATTTTTGCAATATCCACAAAAATCCTTAAAACTAAATTTTCATTCTATTATTTTTCATTCATCGTGAGTTCAAACGCATCGTTCTACAAATTCTATTCATGACAGAGCTTTGTGATAGGTGAAATTAAATTCAATTCAGTCTTGTAAACTACATATTTAGGTTTTTATTCAGAACTGAATTGTCCTCTATCAAAGCACAGTTACTAACTAAACGTTTTTATAATGGGCTAAAACATTGCACGGGGATATATAACTGCTAATTTTATTTGCAAACTGATAATTTTTTAAATACCGAACTGCAGTGCTATTACATTTATACGTAGAAGATATGAGAAATAAGCTCATTCAGTTTTGCGTGTAATTTACACGATAATAATTTAGGATATTTAACGAATGATATTTACTGTTTTTTGTGGTACATGGTGGAAAATTTGTTGTTTTAGTTCCATTTGAATGACGACCTTTTAATCTAATCATCATCATTCAGGCAAAGCCAAAGGAAATGATGAATGATAATCATGTAATCTAAGATAATCATTCAGGCGAAACTTAAAAAAAAAGGATGAATGATAGCCACTATGATCTGCATGTTGCATTCAGGAAAAGCATCAGTTAAATGACCTATTTTTATCGGCTAACGAACGTGTGTTTTAAATTATTCTGTAAGCGCTCATTTATTTGATAATAAGTCTTAATAGTAGACTAATTCATTAAAGAAGTGTTTTTCCTTGTGTATACGTTTGAAATGTGAAATATATAATTTTCTAACGAAATCTTATAATTTTATGAACAGAAATAATAATGCTGCCCCCCCTCATTGGCGGGCATTTAGTAGGCTAGGCTTGGCCACTATTAAGTCCACTTTATCGTGAAAGAACCTAATAGGTGGGCCACCACTGCCCTCTATGAAGGGATGGACAATTACAGCCATGCCTTCCCCGGGAATCGAACCCGGACCTTTCGATATAGCAGTAGGGTCCCCTAACCACTATACCGTCTGGGCGCCAAATAAAACATAACTGTTCGTAAATTGCGTGCTTTAGTTCTTCTTTTGAACGTTTTTGGTTTCCAATAATGAAAGTTCAGACATTATAAAATAAAAAGTTGAATAGTTTCCCTTATTCGAAACCCAATGAGAAATCTTCTAGACAGACGTGCATTTCCGCTTCCCAGAAAAATTCTTCTATAATCACTAAATCCATAATCATTAAGCGGAATCATTAAACTATAATTTTCCATAATCATTAAACGCTTATCTAGTTTAGCATGAGATCAGGACTGTTTGACGCATTTTAAATTTCTATAATCAGAATAAAATTTTGTGACGCAAGCCTAATTTACAAGAAGTTTGTAAATCAGACTTTGAAGTTTAAGATAATCTTGTTAAAATTATCTTGAATGGGATTAACTGTAGTCAATATTAACTGTATTAAAAATTTAATAAACTTCTGAAATCATGATATCCAAATTAAACGGAATAAATAAAAATTTAAGAGAAAATTTTAAAGTTTATTTTGAGCAAATTATAGCCAAAGGTAATATTACTGACGCAAATAATGAGAACTAAAATGAGCCGGTTACTTTCTTTATGAAAATAATGTTAATTGTGATTATCAGGGCAGAGGAGCTTTGTCTAAAATGTTTTCTTTCCTTCCTATAGTTTGATTCAATCTACAATATCTTTATATCGTTATTAGTTTTTATTTTCCTTGTGAGTTCGAGCAAGCAGCTGAAGTTGGATACATTATGCATTACATAATACATATCAATTTATGAGGTCTTCCAGGCCGTTACATATGTGCATATTTTCATTCAAGAAATGGTTTGTTTCTTACCCATCTGCCTTTGGTCTCTGAGAGGGTTCATACCGGACAATGATGTCGGATCCACCGGGGATCCAGTCGCTAGAGGTCCGGCTGATCCTGCATGGAACGCCGGCCACATATGAGGTGTTGTAGCTGCAGCGGCCGCAGCGGCGCTCCAAGGAAAAGCTGCCGCAGCCGCGTACGGGTGATACATCCCATATCCGGCTGCCCGGGCAAACTCGGCGGCGGCTCTCTCGGCTGCCCGATTCCTCAATATCCGGTTAATGGAGCTGACGCTGGGAGCCGTACTGTTGGTACACACACCTGTCCGGAAGAGAGAAAGAGAGGAGAGTATTAATTACGAGTTACTAAGTTATAAATTTATAGTTAAATCTGCATAAAATAGCTACAGTTGCCGTGGCCAGATTATACGAGCGGCAATGAAAGTTAATTAAATCGCAGTTGAAATAGTACAGCTTTACTACACTTTTCGGTTATGACGCATCAAGATATACCGCGTTTTTTAACTATCATGTGAGGGTTAAGCATAGATGTCATTTAACCGAAATCATGCAACAAAGCAAATAAATTTAAACTTTGGATCCCCCTCCCCAATGGCGGGCTCTAACCATTTATAAGCGTTGCTCATTAAGGTTGGGAGCGGTGGTCTCTTTATTATGGAACCACCTGACAGGCGTGCCATCTTTGCCTCCTATGATGCGACAGATAATTTAAACCCAAGCCTTCTCCGGGATTCGGACCCGGGCCCCTTCAGTACGGCAGTCAGTGTCACTAACGTCTTTCCCGTTTGGGGCGGCACACTTTGGAAGTTGTGTGACACGTTTTAAGGAAGCATAGATTAAAGCTCGAAATGCAAACGGAATTGAAAGCAAATATTTATCTACGATAGAAAATTTTACGGAAAAAGCTACGCAATTTGAAATTTCTGATACGAAATCTTGGAAAAAAAATTCTTAAACAACTTCATAATTTGATTTTAGTTCCCGTATTCACCCGGAGTTATGGAAGTACGTATTTACTTTTGTGTACTATCTACTGCAAAGAATCAATAATTTCAATCAGGCGATTACAATTATTGGTTTAAATCATTGTTTTAATCAAATTTAAAAAAAAACACTGATTATTATTAGAATTTTACAGGCTCAAAAATAGCCTAGATTGAATTGCTTATTAGCCAGCTATGCTTATTAGTGAGGTACAAGGAGAATTTTTGCCAGAAAGGCAAACACTAGTTTATTAAATTGAAGTCTATATCTCAATCACCATTCTTCAGTGGTTCATTATTATTTAATGAATCTTTACTAATAACGGCAGCATTAAGACATTAGGTAGTATAATAGTATTATGACAGTGTATAATTGCATAAGTTATAAAAGACAGCATGAAAGTAAAAAAAACTAAGCAGCGCTGAAAACGCTGAAATAATATTTTCTGATATTGAAAGAATGTATTCAGAATTTGGTCGGGAGGCAGAAACTTGAGAGAAAAGTTAGGATTTAAAAAATTTTTCAAAGCTCATCTTTTTACTTCAGTAATTATATAAAAAAGATTAAATATGTAACTAAAAACGGGAATAAACTATCTTAAATTTGTATGCAGAGTATATCTCCAGTTGATTTCTGCTAATTGTTTAATCATTTTAAATTTCAAAGATTAAAAAAAAATGTTAATGGCCAGTTTACGATGATATTTATGTTTATGGTATATAATTATTTTTAATAACTGGGCAATAAAACTAGGTAGTGTTACATTAATTGGCTTGGACTAAAACTGTTATTCTTTGCGATAAAGAAATTAAAAACAAAAAGGCATGCTAAGAGCTTAAATAATTAAAAAATTCCGATTTAAATTACGTGTGTTAAATTTAGTGTGACGGTCCTCCCCCTGGTGAGGGCGGGGATATTACAATTCCTAAATTTAGTTTTCTTATTATATTTGTCATTTTATCAATAATACACGCTTTATTTATTAGCTTTTATGCATATTTTGTTGACCAATATGCATAGAATTTTTTTCTGAAGTTCACTGTTAAATAAATAACTTGGGACATAATTTCTCTATTTTAGGAAAATATTTGATTTTTAAAAATATTTTCCTAAAAATATATATTTGAAAGATTTGATTTTTTTCAATAAGGTATACTTCATTTTTATTGAAACAGGGAGGGCTTATTAGAGGTAATTAATTTTTGCTTAAATTATATTTCGCTTAAATTTTATTAAAGAATCACTGACATTACCTAATTAAGAAAGTACTCCAAAAATGCCAGCGAGAGCTGCAAACTATCAGGTGGATGGTGGATATATTGTTTATTACATCAACAAAAATAATATAAAATAACTAGGTATAAATTTTTAGGGAGTATTTTTATTGTTTTAAACGACTTGGATTACAACTGTTATAATTTAAAAGACAAATTAAAGATCTTATGTTATGTAGAATAACAATACTTAGGGAACAGGCTATTTGTATTTGTCAGTTTTCATAGTGGAGGAGAGAAGCTTATGGTGTAGACATAGCACAAATGGCTAACATAATACATAATTCTACATTAATAACAACCTTTTCAGAGTGACAAAAGCTTCTTCTACTGAAAGGTTAAGAACGCAAAATTAACCAATATAATAATAGTTAAATTTATCAGCATTTTCTGAAGCAAAGTAAAAAGTTAAGTTTAGTGTTCAAAAAGTAATCGGATAAAAAATTAAAAAGTGCCAAACGGCAGTACAAATTCCACAGTAGTAAGAAAAAAATCTGTAAGATCTAAAAAGCAAACAAAAGATCCCTATTGTAAAAATAACAATAAAAAATTATTGTAAATAATAATAATAAATCATTTTTATAAATAATAATAACTAATTATTGTAAATAATAACAATAACTGAAGAGCAGTCGAATTACACAGCATCCAAAAATTAAAGAATTTCTGTTTTGAATATTCAGTGCTAGAAATTTAAATTGATAAAAATAGTGGAATCCGGATGCCATAGATTCTAAAAACTACTTACATCTTACTAAAGGATTATAGAAATGAACCCTGCTGAGAATGAAAAATAAAGAAAGGGCGAAAAAAAACTTTAATACATGAAATGCTTGGGAGTTTAGTTCTATCCCTCTAAAGGATATTTATAAGTGAAATATACTGACTTTGAGTAAAAGAAAAGTATGTGTCAGTTGGTAAGGTTATATTTAAAGGGTGTTTAGGATTAATTTCAGTATATCTGTGAAACAAAATAATTCTTAATAGCGTTAATTCTGAGAACTTGAAATATTGTATCTTCATCCCATTTCTGCGAAATTCTTTATATTTGATATTACCTCTAAACATTTTTCAAGGTATTTAAATGGAAAAGAAGCAATCCAGTGAAATTATACATACATGTATAGCCTTAGCTTAGCATGAATTTTGAATAAAACTCCTGTTCATAAATACAAAATAATTAAGTTGTCAATAATTAGACATTAAGACGAAATTTTTCTACTTTATTTATAACAAATCCAATTATTAATTTTTCCAAATCCGAATTTTTTAACTGTATCATCTTCAATGAAAAGGATTTCTAGTCTATACGATCGCCGAATTTTATTCTAAATCAACGCCCGTCTAAGATTCTATCTTTGCTTTAAATTTCTAAGTGCGACAATGAATTGAATCCATTAAACTCGAGGACCAAAAACAAATAGTTAAATAAGATCACATGCAAATAAAAGCGTTCATCACTTTAATTACATTTCAGTACACTACTGATTAACCAGGGTTATAAAGGAGACAAGTCCAAGACTAACCCCCAATAGTGATTAATCAGAAGGTAATTAAAAAAACGTAAGAAAGACAAATAATGCAAGTTATTATTAAAGGAATTATTAACAACTGACCCGTACTTACAAGCAATTTAATCTGGAGGATATTTTCATTTGATTACGTAAATTAAATCAGTACTTAAAAAAAAAATTTTTTTTCAGAAAGCTTTCAGATTTTATATTACGCCTAAAGAGTCATTTTTTTTAACGTTTTGTGTGCTACTTTAATTTATTAAATATGTTCTTCGCACTTAAACCACATAAAATTTAATTCAACAGCAATATCACAAAATATTTAAAAACAACATATCTTTAAAATTTCCGATAAACAGTCTCGCACGCTGGACATAAAAATGTTATATTCCGTACGGTGTTGCCATTGATCGTTTCGAAATTGTTGAGTTTTTTAATTAAAAATTACTTCTTAAAATTTTACAAAATGTGAAAACAAATTCGAAATTCAAAATTTGGGCTTCCAGATGCCCATGTTCGGGTGGAGCATTACGTTAATTTGACGGATCGTTTTTTCACAATGCGAGAAACATACATACATTCATGCAGATTCTTAATTATTTAATTTATTTAAATATTATGTAGGGCGATTATATTTGGCGGCAACGATTTAAAAAGTCATACGTCGTTTATGGTGAACCGACGCAAAATGCCGTTCCGAGACTAATCGCCTTTCTGAGCTAACGCTCTTTTGGGCTAAAACATGTAAATAAAGAAAATAAAGGAAGAATAAGCATTATTGTTGATTTAAAGAAACATATTAGTTTAAAACAAAATCGGTTAATCGTTATAAGCAGTTAAAACCGCTTATGTTTTAAACACTTTAGTTTGAAACAAAATCGGTTAATCGTTATAAGCAGTTAAAACCGCTCATGTTTTAAACACTTTAGTTTGAAACAAAATCGTTTTATACAGTTTAGTGTAATGAATTTTAATCGTTTTAAAAAGTTTAGTTTAAAACCAAATTTACAAGAGAACTTGCAAAATTTTATCAAGTTCAAACTCGTGTAAAAAGTTGGTTTGCATATACTTTTTGTTTTGGTCAGATTTCATCTGGTAGATATCATCTACTTTCACAGCTTTTATATCACGCACTTTTTTCCGGTAGAAAACTTTGTTTTATGATGACGATTTGTGATTTAATTTTTCTATTGTTCCGCAATAAACAAAATTAACCTTTTTTTTCACAGGACCCTTTAATCTGCAACCCGGTTAATATGGCTACGGTTAATCGGGAGTTAACTGCATTTTACTTCCATTTCAAAGTACATGTTTTTACTTTCCTTAATTACCTTTCTTTTATGCAGTAACGATCCATCACACTTAAACAATACATTCTGCTTTCCACAATCTCCAGAAAACTATTTAACATTCTAATTCTCACCCGCTGGAAAAGGGCAATTCATTCGAACCTGCCTTCCCTAACTCCTATCCCCAACCTCCCCCAGTTCAGTAGCGACGACCAAGCGACTGTGAAACAGAAAGACAAA